GCTAATCACCTCCGAGCTAGCCAATCAGCGTGCGCGAAAAGTACTATTCACTTGTGTGGTATATACTAATGTTAATTACCGTCGAAAATGATAGAAGACACGACCAAAATCACGGTTCACGACGAATTAAATACTTCTTTCTCATAATTCTTTTGGAAACTACGGTTCACGGCTACTAATGAAATCACGATTCACGAGGAAAAAACAAGCCATTTCACATTTCACGGGAAAAAATATTAGGCCATTCACCAGTCACGAAAATACCGCAAGTTTAGCACCCTCTTCATGTCTGGAGAACGTGAACCACGGTGGTTAATCATAGTTTCAAATCTTTATTTCATATTTATTGCTGGTCCCAGATTCAGTTTGTGATAGTTTTGGCAGTAATAAACAAAGTAAATGACTTGAGAGTACCGCGACATTCGTAAGGAAATATAACTTTCTTTTTTTTTCGACTCGGCGTAGTGCTTACTTTTGAAAAATCCCTAGTACTCAGTTTGAACCTGAACAATACGCTTCACTAGATTAAGATTCTAGTCGCTCGAGTATGTCTGCATTTATTACTATTTATCATTATATACTTGTACCTTTTGCAATTCATTACTTTTTTCTTTCTTTCCTTTTTAATATAAACTCTTGCGCTGCCCCGATTAGTTTCGGGGGCAAGCACTGCTTGTAATTATATGTAAGACAAGAACTCAAATGGAATAAAATTGAATTGAAAATTGAATTGAANCGCCGTGCGATGCTCGGAGGTGAATAGTACTTGGCTAATCACCTCCGAGCTAGCCAATCAGCGTGCGCGAAAAGTACTATTCACTTGTGTGGTATATATTAATGTTAATTACTGTCGAAAATTATGGAAGACACGACCAAAATCACAGTTCACGACGAATTAAAAACTTCTTTCTCATAATTCTTTTGGGAACTACGGTTTACGGCTACTAATGAAATCACGATTCACGAGGAAAAAAAACAAGCCGTTTCACATTTCACGGGAAAAAATATTAGGCCATTCACGAGTCACGAAAATACTCCAAGTTTAGCGCCCTCTTGTCTGAAGAACCTGGACCACGACGGCTAATCATAGTTTCAGATCTTTATTTCAAATTTATCGCTGTGTCCCAGATTCAGTTTGTGATAGTTTTGACAGTAATAAACAAAGTAAATGACTTGAGAGTACCGCGACATTCGTAAGGAAATATAATTTTCTTTTTTTTTTCCACTCGGCGTAGTACTTACTTTTAAAAAAATCCCTAGTACTCAGTTTGAACCTGAACAATACGCTTCACTAGATTAAGATTCTAGTCGCTTGTGTATGTCTGCATTTATTACTATTTATCATTATATACTTGTACCTTTTGCAATTCATTACTTTTTTCTTTCTTTCCTTTTTAATATAAACTCTTGCGCCGCCCCGATTAGTTTCGGGGGCAAGCACTGCTTGTAATTATATGTAAGACAAAAAAATGGAATAAAATTGAATTGAAATTGAAACCAATAGAGAACAAAAGGACAAAAGAACGAAGAAAACAGTGAAAACAATAGTTTGTGGGGCGATGTTCTATTGCGATGTGTCCTGTGTCTTCTACACCAACAAGGAGCCCAAAAAGTAATGGAAAATTAGAATTTGAAATTGCCCAGGAAGCATACTTGTACAAAAATTCATGCACACGAATACTACTGAAAAAGGGCCGAAAACGCTGATGAGCAAACTTTATCTCACCACAACAATAGCGGACAGTTCAAGCCTCATTAGTGTGCATAAATGAATGGCCAGGAAAAATATTTGACCCAATTGACGATCACTGAGGTGTGAAACCGGAGAACAGTGTGGCGTGCCTTCAGTTGGGAGACACGAGGTGCGCAGTATTTGTATGACCATGTCTTCGCTAGACCAAGTGATGGCAAGATACACCGTACATGATGATCAAACCACTTCACACGGACATTAGGGTTCAAACCGCAGGGATTATAACCACAGGATTTAACACAGCCCCATACGAAGTCAACAATGGCGTTCGCTAGATGGTTGGTTCCGTTGGTCCTATTTGGCCTGAGTCATTGAGCTTGTATTCTTTTTACAGCAATCCTTTTATTTGTGGTGATCGCCAATAGATTACTCGACTCAATTCCAGATCTCTCCCCCATTCTCCCTCGCCGTTTTTACACTCACTCCAGACCTTTCGTTCGAATATTGACCGTCTCGAACCGTCGCCCGCATTCGCAAAAAATACGACTGTTTTGCAGTCTAGCGGAAATCGAGTCTACTGACATTTTGACTCCAGAAAAGTTTACCTGCTGGTCTAATCTCCCGTAGAGCAGTCTTTAGGTCTCTAAGATCAGTAGCTATCAGTTACTGCAATTGAAAATAGGTATCAGGCTACAAACGAGCATTTAAACAGCTGTTTATTTTGAGTAAGCAATCATACATTTGGCGGCTGGCGAGTACAGACAACGCACGCAACGAAATATCAAATAATAAATCAGCAATTAGAAAAATCTTTGAGAAAACTAGTAGAATACATAGTTGACGAAATACCTGGAGTAATTTCTTACCTTAATTTAGCTTATCTTGATAAAAATGGGCTGAAATCGCCACATCGCTTGCAAGCTTTACGTCGCGTGTGAAACTTCCCAAACTTCGAAGTCAAATGGTAACCAAGAGGGAATGAAGGGTAGGAGAGCTGGTATCTGGGGGAGGACTCCCGCATGACGAGGATGCTTGTCGTCCCGCTTTTATTTATTCGACTCTACTAGCGCGGTTGGTAATCGAGCCTATTCATTTTATTTTATTTTTTTCATATTTAAAAAGTGGTATCTTTCATGGGTCAAACAAAGCTCGAGTTAGCCCAGATTGGTCTCCTTCAAGGGTCGAATTCCAATTTTACGACGTTTTATTCGTGGAGGGTGAAAATGCGCACAAGTCGCTTGGTTTGTCCACGTAAGTGAAGTTCCAAACCGTCCTGGGATTTGTGAAGCCCGCATGGAGTGACATTAAATAACTTAAGAGGGATTGCCTTACGAATAAGCCTATGTGAGGATTGACTATTTTCCGCTTTGTCCTCTCTTGTCTAGATTTAATGTAGAGAGCAAGAAGATAAGAAAACACTACCTACCCCTCCCTCTTTAGATAAGTTTTCTTGATCACGTCACAAAGTACCTTGGGTAATATTATAAGGAACACGTGTCCGCCATGTTGGTTGTCTCAGTTCTCGCGAACTCCTTGACTGCACCCACACCGAATTACAGGGAGTCTCGCTGAATAACTGTATCATTGGCTCACTCGGCAATTCTCCTTACCACTTGAGTGAACGGACAAACAGGGCTGTGACTTCATAACATCAAAATTCAAATATACGCCCGCGTTGTGAATTTGCATAAATTCGAGACTTGATTTGTAGTCTATTGGATTTCTTTAGAAATATAGGTGCAGAAAAATCATTCGAAGATTAAATGCAATTTTAATTCATTTTGATAACTTATTTTATTGCAATTAATTTTACATCTTACATCCAAAAGATCTCAAAAGATCACACTTTACTCCATTCTATTCTATGTTTATTTTTCAAAGCCGGACAATCAAAAATTAAACAAGATACATTTTCCACGTTATTCATGCACACGGCTGTGTCATTAATGCGCCCAGCTGGTTGTCAGCTAGAAACTTGAACATTTTTGTGGATCAAGCACGAAAAAAATGGCAAAACATTTCAAAATTAAATCTCGCCAAAAATAGTATTTTCATGTATTTTTATATGCACCATAACAATTTCAAAGTATCTACATCACTGCAGTTTCGTTATGTTTAAAGTATGCTCCATACTCTCCATACTACATTGTATAAGTTGCCGTGATAACTCGTTCGAAGTCATGTCGAGTTGCTACTTTGTTAGCGACTCAAAGTTGAACAAAGACTCGTCGATGCGTCGAAGGACCTCAAAGAAGGATGATATTGTTGTGTTATAAATGTAGAGGTCGGTTAAGAATTCGAATTCTCCTGTCAAGTGTTCTTTAATTTTACCGTACACTCCAAAGGGAATAATAATTTTCCCATTCCTTCTAGCATGCAAAAGCTCCGCTTTACAGTAATCGCTCTCAAAGTACTCCTGATTCAGCCATGCTACGAAACAATCGCATTTCTCGACGGCCACCTTGAGCGCTCCTACCAAACCACCCATTGGCATGTCTTCTTCGTCTAACCACGTCTGATAGCCCAGAAACTTGAGACCATTACGAAAGGTTCTCATCAATGGCTTGTCCTTGGACTTGTGGCTCAGGAAGAAACCAAACTGGGGAAGGAATCTTGTGTACTTGATTTTTTTCACCACAAGGGGCAAAATATTGCTTTCCAGGTACTTACGGAGTTTCTCTTGGCTTCCTAGGCACTCATTTAGTCGACGAAGCTCCTGCCTGTTTACAAGCTCGTCCTCCATGTCGAACGAATCCATTTCTTCTTT